CCCCACACGTCGCTGCCCTATGGTCAACTCCCCACACAACCTGCATGTCCCCGGCTGCCCCCCATACGCCCCTAGAATCTGGGTCCTAAAAAACCCCGGGACACGACGTAGACGGAATCGGGGGCTCGTGTCATTTTGAGGGAGAATGTACCCTCCGGGCGTCCCCGTACCACTGCCCCCATTGCCCTTGGGTTTCCAGATGCACGGGCCATAAGGCAAACACCTTTTCCCTAAGTCCCCCGTCAGCCCGAAGGGGACATTCCCCAAATTACCCCTATAGTGGGGGAGACTTAAGAGTCCCCTTTGCAGCTTGGGTTACATCAATACTCACATGCTCAAATTTCGTCACCAACGACTGTCACAGCCGTCGAAATTTAACTTGACAAAGCCTAGGCCCCCTTTAGGGCCACCATAAACCCATCATCCTGCACTCCGACGTTTTCCCGGATGAGCCGGAAGTACACCTGCGCCGTAGAGGGGGAAACGCCCCAGAAACAGCTCAAAGCCGACAGTGTTTATCCAGTCGGATATCAGGCCATATTGTTGCTATAGAGCTTCCGACAAAAAACATGGGGTGCTTGCAAACCTCACTCCACCCCTCAGGGAGCTAAAGTGGGGAAAATTTGGGTAAGGGGGGGAAGGTTGTTCGGGCAACCCCGGGAACTTAGCGGTTACGTTGCGCGCCGCACCCCCCCCCCCCTCGGGGGCTGGGGCAAAATAGTTCCTGGTGTCCGATTTTTTAAAGTTTCTCCCTGGTAATATTGACCTTACCTGTGTGGTTGAAGTTTGGAGAGTCACTTCACCCCCCCCATCTTCTCCTAATAGGTAGGGGGATCTCCCGGAGTATTATGTTTGTTCTTTTTTAGTGTTTTCTGGTTACCAGTAAGTTTTGGCATTTATCATTCTTTTTTTTCTTTAAAAATTATATTATCATGACTATGGGTAACCAGTTTTTTTTTTTCTTATTACCACTCTGTTCCCGGCGTGGTCTTCCAGGATAGCGCCAGATAAAGGGAAAGAGTGTGTTAAAAATATTTTAAACATTTTTCTACACTACGGCCCTTTTTCCTTTTCCCTTTTGTGCCCCACCCAAGTGGTAGGGATTCAAAAAATCAAATTGTTACCTCGCCCAGGAAAAACCCCAATAATTAACATCAGAAGAACTACCCAGGGCCATACCTTCCTCCCCAAACTAAAAAAACTAAAGGCCATTTTTTTTATTTTTTAAAATTTTTAAAGTAAAATTTAAAAAATCATTATTCTTTTTTTCCTAAGTTTTTTTCTTTTTTATTTTTTTTCCATTAATTTTTTTTTGTTCTTGGAAGGCTTTCCCTGACGAGACGCAGAGCTTTTTTTTTTGGAGGACGGGAAAACAAAAAGGGATCCCATAACACCCCCGTTCAGTTACGGGAGCGGACGAAGATTATTTTGGTCATTGTACCCAAAAATCTTGAGTCGGGGCTTTTCAACACCACAAACCTCTCCCCACGATACCTCACCTGACCCTGCCAATATATATTAATAAATATATAATATTTTTATATATATATATAATTTTTTTTAAAAATGTTTTCTTAGTTTTCTCTGTATTGGATGAAGAAGCCATGGGCGAAACTTTTTCCTTTAAAAAATGTCCTGAACTGTACTAAGTGTTTTTTCCACATCTTGTCGGTATCCCCCAACCCATTTCCTCATTGACAGTGATTCCTGCAAAGTCAAGGGTTTTTTTGTTGAGCCCCCCCTTACATTTGTAAGGACAGTAAGATCCATTTATTCCTTTCTAACACTTCTGGTCAGTGTTCGTTCAGAGCAAATACCAATCTTTTTTGACCTTGTTCTTTTCCCTTACCCGTTAGGAAAGGGGGATGTTTTTGTCAGCCCATTGGGTGGGTGCTATTTTACCGGGGGTCCCTCCATTTCCTGGTAAATCCTTCCCCCATTGAGGGGGAGACTTAGCCCCACTGACTTCCAACAGGGTAAAGGTTTTTGACTCTTTTTGAAAAACGTCGTAAACCTTTTGCCTTCCCGGTAAAAGATGGTATAATGAATTTTAATGTCCCTGCCCCTTTTGAATTTTTCTAGACCTTTTTATTCCTTTTTAAGAATGCCTCTTCCCCAATTGCTGTCATAGATAAAATTGACAATCAAATGTTTAGAGGAGTTATTGCCCCAGAAATTTCCCCCCCCGGGAAATTGCCCATGATCCTGTCCCTAAGAAGGTGGAAATTGGCGCCCAGTGATTGTTTTAGGAAGTTAAATCGAAAACTATCCAGATCGTTTCCCACTTCCTGACGGGTAATCTTTTACTAACATCGGGAAACGAAGTTTTTTCGACCCGGACTTTTTACAAGGTTTTGGGAAAGCCCTCTTCCTGGAAAGCCAAGAGCTAACCGCATTCCCCACCCCAAAGGGGTCTTTTACCCTTTCCTCCTATGGCTTTTGGTTTACGATCTTCCCCTTCCGTTCTAAGGCCCTGACTAATATCTTTGAGGTTTAGGTAATGCACTTTGTTGTACTTAATGACGTAAAGTCTGCTAAAACTGAATTTCACATTTAAAAGACTTGTTTTTGTGTTGGGAAAACTTTAAGAACCAAAATTTAAAGATCAAACTGTCTAAATGTCAATTTTTTTTAATCAGAAAAAAAGTTTCTTGGGCACGTAGTCACCCTAAGGGGTTCGATTGACCAAATAAAGTCTGCAGTACAATTTTTCCTATCCCCAAAATGCTGATGCCGAAAAATCCTTTGTGGGGTTTGGGTTTTTATAGTCTTTCATTGCCCAAATTTTTTTTCCATAGCTGCCCTCGGTTTCTTAGAAAGATGCTCCTTTTTTTTGGACCTTCCGTCAAAAAAGACATTCCAAACTTTTAAAAAAAAAGCTAACACTGCTCCAGTTTTAAATTTCCAGATTTTTCTAAACCCTCATCTACAACTGATGCAGTTCTGTTGGGTAGGGGCCCCTACTAGCCGAAGACTGAGGAAGTACAAAGCATTGCATTTTCTAGCCGGCCCTTACGAAGACTGAACGTAATTTTAACTAAAAGAGCAAAAGCTTTAACAATAATATGGTCTTTAAGCATTTGAGACTTATTTACGTACCTTTCATATTTTACAGACCATGCTCCCTATACCTTATTCCCGAACAAGCAACCCCGGAAGGGTTTGCCCGATGAACCTTTACATCCCGAGTTCAATCCCACAATCCTCTCTAAATGCCCCAAAAAACCTTAACAATCCCCTTTTCAACCCTCTGAAATTTTTAACCATTGTACCCTACATTTCTTCTGGGTTTCCCACTTTTTTAAATTCTTTACATAAAATTCCATCCAAATTTCCTAGCAAGTCAAAGATCACAGATGCTTTAGCAAAATTTAGTTTAAATAATGCAGACCCCCATTTAATGCCGAGGGGCAAAGAATGCTCAAAGAACAGATCCTGTGGTCAGTGTGATTCGATTCCTGCTCCAGGAAAATCAAAATTTAAATGTGAAGCCACCCGCACCCCCAGTGACTTTGTAATGAGTCAAGAATTACTGTATCGAACAGCCGAGTTCGGTACTCCAAACAGAAGAGTATACCAGTTAGTAATTCCACAGTCACTAGTGAACGTAGCCCTACAGCTAGTTCATGATTGCACCAGGTGTTGCACACCTGGTATGGATCGTTCTGTGAAACAAGCCAGAATGAAATACTTTTGGCCACGTATGGCAACTGATATTTCTGAGTCTGTATGCAACTAAAGGAAATGTCAATGGCCCAAATCCTATCCAGGTGTATCCCACCTTCAGTGAACCATGGGAAAGAGTTGCCATAGATCTGTTAAGTGATTTAAAATTTCTCCAGGCAACAAATCTGGTGATGGTAGATCATATCACAGATATTGTGAGTTAGTTCCTATGCAGATAAGACTGCGGACTGGTGCAGAGCAGCAACAGCTGTTGATCAGGCTCTGATCACAGGAGCCAGGTCACAGCGGGCCGCGGGGGCGTTGACCCCCGGAACTCTCTCCAGGTAAACTCCAGGTAAACTGTAGCTAAAGCTTTCAAGGAGCGTGTAATCTGTAGGCATACCACCCCTAAGTCCCTGAAAATTTGTGTACCTTGTACAAGATCTCTAAATCCACCATTGTTCCTCATCATCCTGCCAGCAATGGGTTAGCTGAACGAACCAATAAGAGAGTACTTGATGTCTCGAGAGCCACTATCAATCCCAACAGTGAAACCTGGGATAAAGTTATACCTGATGTTCAATGTGCCATAAATTCTGCTCACAATGCTTTGATAGGTGACAATCTACATTATGCGCTGTATGGTATAGACAAGCATTTGCCTTATGAGTTATTACATTCTGCACCTAAACCCAATTATAACCCTGATGATTTCATAGCAACTCGCACCAGCTTAGCTCAAAGTGTTTTTAGAAGAATCTGTGAGACACTTCGTAAGTCAACAGCAGAATTTACAAGAGTAACTAATAGCCATGCTAAACTGACCAAAGTTAAAGTGGGTTCGAGAGTAATGCTGACTAACTTCAACCAAACATACGCAATGCCTAAGCTCGATCAAAAGTTTGTTGGCCCTTATCGAGTAGTTGAACATATCAATGGCAATAAGTATAAAGTTAGAGAAATTAGTACTGGTCAGTATAAAGAATCGCATTTAGATCACATGAAGTTAGTATGCGATGTCGAGGATGATATTTCTACCCAGACAAATGTGACAGATGCTGACAATCCTCCTGACTCTGTACCCTCTACCTCTAATACTCAGTAGATGATCAACCTGAATGTTGGTATTCTTTACGTACACAACAAGTAATGAGAAACCCCCAAGTATCTTTTGTAGATACTTGTTCAGATCTCCCTCAATCAAGGCATGTGTTAGTCATTGCGAAAGAATTCGATCCTCCCAGAGACAATAACCATTCTGCATATGTAAATCTTACCCTTGCAGAGTTGGGTTTAAATGTACATAGTCTGTATAACTAGATGATCAAGTTGAATGAACTTGTCAACTGTATGTTTTATTATTAGCTAATCAGTTTCCAGAAATATTTTTTTTTATGTGTGTTCACGTTCTCTCCGAATTCTGAGATTTAGCAGTAATGATCTGTGCGCGCCTGGTCTGCCTTTACTGTTAATTACTTTCACCTTTGTAAATATATATATTCTTCCTCAGAATCTGTAGAGTGCATGAATACAGATCAATTGATCAGTTCCATCTTTTATTATACTATGATTTGTTCTTGTAATTTGTAATGCATTATGATACCATCCATTAGTTCTAAGTTACATATGTCTTTGCTATTGTACAGAATCAGCCCAGAGCCACCTGCCTGTTCAGCCCTATAGCATAATTGTATGTCAAGACGACATACAAAACATGATCGAGCTGTCAGCATAGTTGCTGATCCCCTGTATATGTATATATTATCTGAGTATCATAGTTAGTACCATCTATATGTTTTACATAGATGACCCTTTTGCTAGGCCCAGTGGATAGCATGTGTGACGTCACGTGATGCTGCACGTGAGCATGAGACGCACTGCCTCTTCCTCAGTTCACCAGTAGATCTTAAAGGCAACAGGACAGGCTAGGCTGGGCTCCCCTCTCACACTCTGCTAATATAAGTGTTACCACCCAACAACTTGTGCTTAACTCCAACCATCATATATCCATGAACCCTCTCAACATACTGTATATGCCATCTTTATATCAACAATGTATCTCTTAAATCTTTAGTATCATATTATGTAATAAAATATATCTATTGGTAAAAAATGAAAAGATGGGGCGGTAGGGGAAGTGGATTATTCAAGCGGCTTCAGGAAGAAATCCAAATATTCTTCCTTGAAGCCTTTGTATCCACTTCTCCAAGGCTATGGGTCCCACAATTTACACCAGAGGTGGACCCCATTAGTTGAGGGTGCAAAGCTTAATCCAAACCCTAGTGCTGCCTATTGATCACTCCTTAATTCCTTGCTAGAGAGGTTCATAACAAACTCTGGATTCGCATGTATGGTCCAACCACTCTGTGCTATGAGATTATTTAGCTTCCTATTATGATTGCGTTCGGCGTTTTGTCTGACTCTTTTGAGTTCCTTATAAATATAATCAAATTGGTGGGGTTTACAAGGTCCCGTGTACTCAGTGTCCTCTCTCATATATCGGTCAAACAGGTAAATTTCTGGAAGCCAGAATTGCCCAGCATAAATACTCAGTCAGGACAGGGCAGGAGTCGAACGGTATCTTTAACCACGTTAATGCATGTAATCACCCTCCGGGGTGGGATGCTGCCCAGATTATAGTACCAAACAGTTCTGTCAGGGAAAGAAACATAATTGAATCTTCCCTCTTGAAACATGAAAGGAATACAGTACACAACTCAAATTATGCGTTATAAGAGCTCGATAGCTATTTAGTAGAGTCCATTGTACACAATCTTAAACAACAATGCTATACAAAATTACAGGATTGTTCATTATGCCAAGTGGTTGATGGATTGGTGATGCCCGACCAGTGTCTACGCACCAAAACTTCAAACCACGTCAGTTGTGATGGTTATATAACACCTGTAGCTGTTAATGTACCATACGGTGAAAAGCACACAAGATAACGAGATAACGTAAGGAGAGGTTAATGGGTATTAGTAGAATATTATCGGATAGCCATAGGAGTTCCCCATGTATGGCATATTAACCGACACTGAGAAAATAGTGGACAATATTCAGGAAGAACATTCGAGTACCCCAGAGCAGGACATTAAACAGACAAAGAACACATTGTATTTCTTTCTTTCATTATTTGAAAAGGTCACACAATGTAATAGTCTATAGTATCTAATGAGAAACTTATTTTCTCAAACCATATGACCTGTTATAAACGATTAGAAAAAGCTTAGGGCTGGCTTTTTATATTTTTTAATTTCCTACTTGACATCTCAGAAACCCTCCTACCCCATATGGGTAGTAGAGGGATGATGGTAGGGTGAGGTTGGCACCGACCACTAACCCAGTCTAAGAGTAACCATGGACGGTGACACCTACGCTACTCTGAAACCTCTCTCCCTGCTTTGGTTGCTCCTTTGTAACATTGCACAGCTCCTGTGATGCATTGAGAAGTGTGAAAGTACTTGAGTTAAAGATTTACTCCCCCATCCCGGGCATATAAATATAATATATATATAGATATATATATATATAATATATATATTATATATATAATATGTATATATATATAATCATTATATATGATATAAATATATATTATATATATATATATATATATATATATATATATATATATATAATATATATATATATGTCGTGCTGAATATGTAAAACTGGTTATTAGCATGAACTCATTAAAATTAAGTTCTTTTTAAAATTTTCTCTTACACGTTTAAAGATATATTTTTTTCATTAATGTTGATGCAAATATTATAATTTTGCACCAAAAGGAACTTAGAAAACTTACCTAACCTTATTATAACAAGAAGAATTTATTTAGCCTAACCCAACTAAATATATTTTAGATTGTTTACAAATAATTTAATACTAAACAAACACAGTGAATATATTTTTTCGTTAGGTTCAGAATGATTTTGCGAAATATTCCATAACAAATTTGCACTTGACCTATATGGCAAGATGAGCGTTGTTATTTAAGCCAAGATCGCAAGTTCTGCCTATTCGGCACGACATATACATATATTTATATATTTTATATATATATATATATATATTATATATATATATATATATATATATATATATATATATATATATATATTGTCGTGCCGAATATGTAAAACTGGTCAATTAGCAGAACTCATTTAAAATTAAGTCATTCTAGAATTTTCTCTTATACGTTTAAAGATATATTTTTTTCATTAATGTTAATGTAAAAAAAATTATAATTTTGGTCCAAAAGAATCTTAGAAAACTTACCTAACATTATTATAACAAGAACAATTTATTTTAGCCTAACCCAACTTAATATATTTTAGATTTGTTTACAGTAATTTACTACTAAAAAAAACACAGTGAAATATATTTTTTTTCGTTAGGTTCAAAATGATTTTGGCGAAATTATTGCATACACAAATTTTCGCTTGTCCTATATGGCAAGATGAGAGTTGCTATTTAAGCCAAGATCGCAAGTTCTGCCTATTCGGCACGACATATATATTATATATATATATATATATATATTATATATATATATATATATATATATATATATATATAATATTATTATAATATATAAAAAAAGGCTTGATTTTGATAACATATCTAATACTACAGTGTTACCTCGCATATCCGGGATGCCATTATCCGAACCTCGCCAATATCCAAAGAGGCCCTGGGAAAGGGCAAAATTCAAAATTATTACCGAAACTTCCGAACAGACGTTCGAATACGGCAGAAGGCTGAATCAAACTTGGTGAGCACTTTAGTGCACCGGTTGGCCACCAGGAGCCGCGTTCATCGACACCCCCCCTCCACGAAAAGTCGACCCTCTGTGATATCAAGATGGTTCATGATAAGATTGTTGCATACACAGGAAAGTTTTCTTCCATCTCAAAAACCGAAAAAAATGCCGAAAGAAAAATGATGGCGAACCAAAGTTTGGAACTCGGTAAGTGTGTGATGAAGTGGTACCTACAACAACGTGTCAGTCCGACTTGGACCATTAACAAAGTCACACTAACGAAAAGGAGAGCAGGAAGGGTATATATAGGCAGGAAGTGGTAGTAGTAGTAGTCAGGGCCAGATTACCAAATAGGCAAACTAGCCATTTGCCTAGGGCCCCGCTCATTTGGGGCCCGCGGTCCAAGGGGTTCAGGGCTCATCCAAGACTGCACACATGGTGCAAGTGCAAAGGGGTCCCTACCTAAAAAGTTCAAGTGTTTGGAGAGTAAAATTGATTTTTAAAAATTAATCAAAACAAAAATAAATAATGAAATAAAATAAAATAAAAATAAATAAACCGAACCATAGATGGCAACACTCAACGCGCCTTTGTTTACATCAGAACAGCTGTGTTTTCCCGCTAATGGGTGAGTATGGGAGATTCCTCTCCAATTTTCTGTAGTAATTACACGTTATCTAGACTTGTACTGTGACAAATTAACTGAAGTGTTGTTTATAGACATTGATGTGTATGGATAAATGTTTGTTTTCGCCTCTAAACGTTAAGGGAGGTACCTGATAGGGTTACTTGACCAGTAAAGACGCATGGACCAGTAAAGACGCATTTTTGGTAAAAATACTATAAAGAAAAACCTAAAAATGCAAACTGACTTCCGTTTGTAGGTTTTAAAAGCACTTTGTCCTGTCTTTAAGTCTTTATCATTTCAATAACAGATCTCAATTGATTGATGTTCTACATCACTTCCGTCGCAAATGCTTAGTTTTCAAGTTGCGACGGAAGTGATGTAGAACATCAATTAATTTACTACATATTTCCCCAGAAACACATAAGCCACATTAGAAAATCGTTGGTTGGGTGAAACTGAATATGTGCCCTGCTCAGCACATTCTCTTAATCTTGTTGGGTCATGTGCTGCGGAGTGTTGTGTCGCTGCAGTTTCATTTTTTGGACTTTCACAAGCACTCTTTAATTTTTTCTCTGCTTCAACGCATCGGTGGAGTATACTCAAGACAACCATTCATGGAGATGTCATCAAATCATTATCAACAACAAGGTGGTCAGCGCAGCATGATGCAACACATGCTTTGAAAGACAGCTTTGCTGAAATACGTTCTGCTTTGATCCAAATAGCAGAGGATGAAGACCAGACAGCAACTACAAGAAGCGAAGCAGCCAGCTTAGCACCAAAATTGGAAGATTTTGAATTGGCCTTACTCTGTGTGCTTTGGGACTGTATACTGGAACGGTTAAATGCCACGAACAAGACACTTCAGAAAATTGAAATTGAAATGGCTACTTGTGCTAACCTCTATGCAGGCTTAGTGGAATTTGTAAGCTCACTTCGCAATGATGAAGCTTTTGAAATGTTTGAAGAGAAAGCTAAACTGCTGGTGAAAGACTACAGTTACCGGGCTGATCATCAGCGGTCAAGGAAGAGGAAACGCAATTTTGAAGAGCCAGACAATAAAATTGTGTTGCTACCAAGGCAGAAATGTAAGACAGCTACATACTTCGTCATTCTGGATTCACTGATACAGAATTGGTGAAAAGAAAAGAAATCTACCAGAATCTCAATGACAAGTTTGGATTTCTGTTCAAAATTACTATTATGCCAGATGCAGAATTGAGAGAAGCTGCATTAAAGTTGCAACAACACCTTTCAGCAGATGTTCAGGACACATTTGTTGAAGAAATAGTTCATTTTTCTGGGTATATGAATCAGATTAAAGCTCCACCTGAAAAATGTGCACCCTCAGCTGCTTTGAAACATTTAAGAAATGCAGGTATCTCAGAAACCTTCCCTAATGTTGACATAGTGTGTCGCCTTTACTTACACTTCCAGCTACTAACTGTGAAGGAGAACGTTCATTTTCTGTTTTGAAAAGAGTGAAAAACCAGCTCCGTTCAACAATGAGCCAAGACAAATTGTGTAACCTAGCCTTGTTGACCATTGAGTCTGATCTAACAAGAAATATTGATTTTCAGAATATAATTGATGATTTTGCCAATATGAAATCCAGAAAAAAGTTTATTTAAGAAGTGCCTGTGAATATAAACAATTCTTTACTTTCTTGAGTTTATATGATTTGATAGTCTTATGCATGATGCAATGATAACAATAATGGTCAGTGATTTATAAAGGGAATAACAGTGCTGTAGTGGTTATGCTGAATATAATAGGTACATGATGTCACTACTTTAATAGCCTAATCTAGTAATACTATGCTGTCTTGAGTTTATTCTCTTTAAAATGCATGATTTAACAAGATAGTTATAATGGCTGTTGGTAAATGGTTTTGGTTGTCTTGATGTGCTTTCCCTATTAAATTTAATCTAAATAGCCAGAATGTATTTAATTAGACCTTAAACAGGCTCACCCCCCCCCCCCAAGCTGGAAGGGGTCGCTTCGCTTACCCGTAACTCAAAGGAATAATAGCCTAGGGCCCGGAGACTTCTTAATCTGGCCCTGGTAGTAGTAGTGGTAGTAGAAGAGGTGGAAGGATGTAGTAGTGGGGAGGTAGTACAAAAGTAATGTTAGGTTTAACGACACTAACAATGCTCTTTTCTGTCACGTCAGAGATCACAGCCATCCTACTGACTGGTCTTCTGCTAAAACTGTCTTCCCTACTTCCAACTTTAACAGTCGCTGTCTGGTTGAATCCTCCCTAATAGACAACTTTCCTTGTATGAATCTTAGTCCTGGCTTCATCTCTGTAGATGCCTTCCTCTCCCACTACATTGTAAAATGTTCCAAACTTCAGAACACCCGTGACTTAACCTGACTCCTTATTCTTCTTCTCCCTCTTCCCCTTTACTCTTTCCTTTTTCTCCTTTGGGTTGTCTTCTGCCTTGTGTATTTGTTCCTTCTTTATTTATTTATTTATTTGCTTACCCCCTCGGCGTTCTTGCTCTTACCCTCTGCGGGCACCTAGCTCCCTTGTGGGCACCTAGCTCCTAGCTCCCTTGTGGGACCTAGCTCCCTTGTGGGCACCTAGCTCCCTTGTGGGCACCTAGCTCCCTTGTGGGCACCTAGCTCCCTTGTGGGCACCTAGCTCCCTTGTGGGCACCTAGCTCCCTTGTGGGCACCTAGCTCCCTTGTGGGCACCTAGCTCCCATGTGGGCACCTAGCTCCCTTGTGGGCACCTAGCTCCCTTGTGGAGACCTAGCTCCCTTGTGGGCACCTAGCTCCCTTGTGGGCACCTAGCTCCCTTGTGGGCACCTAGCTCCCTTGTGGGCACCTAGCTCCCTTGTGGGCACCTAGCTCCCTTGTGGAGACCTAGCTCCCTTGTGGGCACCTAGCTCCCTTGTGGAGACCTAGCTCCCTTGTGGGCACCTAGCTCCCTTGTGGGCACCTAGCTCCCTTGTGGGCACCTAGCTCCCTTGTAAGCACCTAGCTCCCTTGTGGGCACCTAGCTCCCCTGTGGGCACCTAGCTCCCTTGTGAGCACCTAGCTCCCTTGTGGGCACCTAGCTCCCCTGTGGGCACCTAGCTCCCTTGTGAGTACCTAGCTCCCTTGTGGGCACCTAGCTCCCCTGTGGGCACCTAGCTCCCTTGTGAGCACCTAGCTCCCTTGTGGGCACCTAGCTCCCTTGTGAGCACCTAGCTCCCTTGTGAGCACCTAGCTCCCTTGTGGGCACCTAGCTCCCTTGTGGGCACCTAGCTCCCTTGTGGGCACCTAGCTCCCTTGTGGGCACCTAGCTCCCTTGCAGTGCTCCTCTTTCTTAGTATTTGACTGGCCCCTCCTATTCTTACTACCTCCCCACTGCTACTACCTTCCTTCCACTACTACTACCACCTCCTGCCAATATATACACTTCGTGATCGCTGTATGATGGTTCGTGGCGCCGAACTTAAAATGGCTACAGAAAATTTCAGCAAGTAGATTGGCTTATCAGACTTCAAGGCATCTGCAGAGACTGCAGAATTAGTGTTGCACCCGAAACATTCCGAAAGTGACGACGACGATGACGACCCAATGCTTCAGCAGTAAGGGCAGGTGTCGAAACACTTTTGGAGTATTTCGAGCACCCACTCTCCATAACCCATTTGAAAAGTTATGATCCTGTGATACGTGAAATCCAGGAAGCTGTTATTCGAGCCCAGAGTGTCTGGTCCCACCGCCAGACGATGTTGAACTCGTATTTTTAAACCTACAACACCGTCGTTGTTGACTTAGACACATGTGCAACTCTTGGGTATCTTTATCGAGGAAACGTTTCGCCACACAGTGGCTTCATCAGTCCATACAAAGGAGAAACTTGAAGAACAGGAGGAGAATAAGGTAATCAGTCCCTCAGCCTTGAGTCGATGTGGTCAGTCCATCAATGGGACTGATGAACCCAAGAGTTGCACATGTGTCTAATTCAACAACATGTCGGTTCTCTGAACTATTCATCTACTACAACACCGTCGCCGATGGTGATATGACTGGGTACGGATGGTGATATGACGGTACGGATGGTGATATGACGGTACGGATGGTGATATGACGGTACGGATGGTGATATGACGGTACGGATGCGCATTTTTTCCCCCTCACGTATCCGGAAACTCCGTGTTTCCGAACCGGTCTCATCCCATATAGTTCGGATATGAGAGGTATCACTGTACTGACAAGAGTCTAATGATGATTTTAGAATATGTTGCAACCGGAAACACTAGATCTGTAGAAAGACTAACTCAACCAACCCACCTTTACTGTCACCAATACTTCCGACCTCCACAACCAGCAATACTTCCCACCTGTACAACCACCTGTACTTCCTACCTGCACAACCACCAACACTTCCCATCTGCATAACCATCAACACTTCCCACCTGCACAAGAACTAACACTTCCCACCTGTACAACCACTAACATTTCCCACCTGCACAACTACTAACACTTCCCACCTGCACAACTACTAACACTTCCCACTTGCACAACTACTAACACTTCCCACCTGCACAACTACTAACACTTACCACCTGCACAACTACTAACACTTCCCACCTGCACAATATCATGATACAAGCTGCTCTCCTCTTTGACAGTCTTCTCCTCCTCCTGGTTCTTGGCTCGTCCCACCATGAAGACAACACCGAGATTCACGCCCCAGTTGAGAGCCGAGGCGTTGGCCCAGGTGACACGAGTCTCGTGCCTCTTGTGCACCCTGTCGATGGCAGAGTGCACGAATCCCACCACCTGCAGGTCCCTGCTGCGCCTGCAGAAGTCGCCTTCCTCTATGAAGTAGTGACTGGGTATGTCTGCTGGCTGATCCACGGGGTTCTTGGAGGGATGGTCTGGTATGTATGTCTGAGGGAAGAGACTTGAAGTCAGGTGAGGGTAATGTAAGGTGGGGGTGAAGGTGATGTAAGGTGAGATGAAGGTGAACAAGGTGGGGTAAAGGTGAACAGCATGGGGTGAGGATGAACAAGGTGGAGTGAAGGTGACGAAGGTGAGGTGAAGGTGAACAAGGTGGGGTGAAAATGAACAACTTGGGGGTGGTGGTAAACAAGGTGAGGGTGAATAACATGGAATGAAAATGAACAACTTGGAGTGAAGGTGAACACGTTTAGGTTAAAGTGAGCAACATAAGGTGAAGGTGAACACTGGAATATCTCTTCTAAGAATTATATCACCTACTTGATGCCGGGATAACCAGTATAATGTTTAAGTAGAAGACTTTATTAACGTCAAGCTGCCACCAGTCAGTTACCAACAACTCGTTTAAAATTAAGTCATTTCTGAAATTTTCTCTTATACTTTTAAAGATATATTTTCATCTATGTTAATGTAAAAATTAGCAATTTTGTACCAAAAGAACCTTAGAAAACTGACCTAACCTTATTATAACAAGCAATATTTAGCCTAATTAAATGATGAAAGCATTTTCTTTTTAGGGATTTTGTTTCTTTTTGGGTCACCCAACCTCGGTGGGAGGCGGCCGACTTGTTGAAAAAAAAATAATCTAACTAATAATTTTAGATAAGTTTACAATAATTTTTTTAATAAACAAAAATAATGAAAAAAATTTTTTCTTTGGTTCGAATGATTTT